CTGCAGCGCACGCAGGGCGGCGGTCCGCAGGAGGCGGCGGGCAGCTCCTGGCAGCTCTACGTGCTAACCACACACACGCATGTGGTGCCTAACCATGAACACGAGCTGGTGATTATAATCTTGTCAGAAGACTGTCACTGACAGTCACCAGCCGCGCAGCGGCCTGTTTACCCGGAGGCGGAGGCTGGGGAGGCAGCCAGCAGCCCCCTCCTGGGTCTCAGGCGCCATACACGGTTCTCCTGCCTGGTGCCGAGCGCCGTCAGCTCCGAACGCTCCCAGGAGGAGGGGTGCCCACGTCTCCAGTCCAGGACTCAGAGTGTTCTTTGGCAGGAAGGAGAACCAGTCTGGGCTGCGAGTCGGTCTAAGGAAAGGTACCAGTAAGGCCTGCCCCAGGTTGCCCTTGTCCCAAGTCCTGGGGGGGCCTCCCATCCACCCACACCGCAGAGCCATGGAGCATACAGAGGCCCCGTCCTGAAGCCCCACACAAAGCCAGTCTTGTCTCCGCCTGTTTTTCCTAATCATTTACTCTCTGGCAGAAGGACTCTTAAGGACATCCCTGCTACCCCTTCTCGCGCTTAGTATTCTGGGGACAGGCCTTGTGCGGCCTCCCCTTTTCTCTCTGGACCAGCCTGATTCAGAAACCGCTGCTTCATTCAGAAACACTTCCTAGGACTGTCCAGCGGCTGCTGGCTCCTGGGCTTCCTCTTTCTTCCAGGTCTTCCTGCCCTCCCAATCCCAGTGGCCCCCCACTCCAGCCTCCCGTTGCTCAGATGTGGTTCTAACTTGGGATCACAGAGGGAGAGGGACCAGCACACTGACCCCCCCCCCCACCCCGGGCATCCCCCAAACATTCTCCCACTTGGACAAAAATGCAGCCTGGGATGCCTCAGGCCGCTTGGCCGGTGCGTGAAACCCCCAAGTCTTTCTCACTTGTTCTCTTATTGTTTGGTTATGAAACTTTCTTCCTTCTTTTTGAATTAGCGGGGTTTTGGATCAGTGTGCTTGGCCCGCCCTCACGCCCAACTCCGCTGAGCCTAGTCAGCTGCTGCACAGCTCGCCTCCCTTAGTAGTTGGGCTCTTTCCCAGGCCCAAGCTGACGGCATCTGAGTGCCAGGACGCCTGCGAAAAACCCTTTGCCTGTGCCTAAGAGAGTTCTCCCTGCAGCAAGAAATGACTCAGAGAATACTCAGGGTGGAAAGAATGAATGAAAATATTTTTATGAAATTTCCCTGACCACAAAACATATTTTCTGCCCACGTAGGACCAAGTTCTCCAGGAGATAAATATCTGCTTTTGCCTACTCACTTTACCCTAAACGCTTAAGCCTGCATTGCTAGTGTGTCTGCAACACTTGGAACTCCTTGGAAAAATGAAACTTTATTCACTGAATCATTTTTGATTGAGTTTTAAAATTCACAGTTGTCCATGTTTACACCAAAAGTGAAAGGGCTAGTCTCTGTCCAAATATCTCCATAGGAACCACAGCCAGTTACAACTCTTTACCCACTGTGCTAGTTCTGAAGCATAGCAGAGCATTCAGAAAGCAAAGGGCAACGGGGGATTACTGTCTTAGGCAGCTTTGCCCGAAGCCTGTATTGCTGACAACACCCAACTGTCCTAAATTGTTTCAGTCACTGATTTATTCATTGGTTCATTCATTTATCCAACAAAATACTTTCTGAGCATCTTCTGTGTGCCAGACCCCTGTGCTATGGCTACGAGGAGGACAAAGATACAATCCCTGCCCTCAGGGATGACACAGTTTAATGGGGGATACCAGTAAGGAAACTGGTATGTACGCTGTAGTATTATAAGAGCCATGGGAACACAAAGCAAGTCAGGTTAGTGTGAGGGTATGTTGAGGAACTGGGGGACAGAGAATCAGGAGAAGGCTGTCTTGGAGAAGGTGACATGTGAGCTGACAAAGCCATGGAGGAGAAGGGAGGCACTGGAATGAAGAATGTGGCAAGTGCATGCCACCACTGTGGCCGGACAAGCAGGGAGGTCTGGCTAGGAAATGGGGTGTTGGGTCATGGAGTGAGACCTAAGCCTGAGGAGACAGACTGGCTTCTGAGGACTTTGCATGTGCCAGCCACCGCATAGGGCAGGTGTTTTTTCTTGTCTTTCATTTCAAAGATTAAAAAAATATATATTTATTTAGAGAGAGCGCACGTGCATGCTCACAGGTGAGCAGGGAGAGGGGCAGAGGGAGAGGGAGAAAGGGAATCTCAAGCAGACTCCTCACTGAGTATGGAGCCTGACGTGGGGTTCTATCCATGACCCCGAGATCATGACCTGAGCTGAAATCAAGAGTCGGATGCTCAACTGACTGAGCCACCCAGGAGCCCCTCTTGTCTTTCATTTCAGAGGAAACTGACTCAAAAATGTTGAGTAGCTTACCCAAGATCAAGCAGCTAAAAAGTAGCAGAATGACTCTGTCGGGATTCCAAAACTCATATTTTTCACCACTAAGCTCTGCTGCCTCGGCTCGGGTGGAGGATGAGGAGGACGGACTGTGTGGGGACCATGCTAGAGAGATGGAGGTTGGCTTAGAGGTGAGAAATATAGAGATATGAGTTACAGCAGTGGAGACAGAATGAAGAATAGGGAGATTTGAACGATAGTAAGGAGTTAAGAGTTGATTGGTCTTGTTAGAAGTTGATTGTAGGCGGGAAGGAAGAAGAGATGGCAATGACCTACATTTCCAGCCTTGGGTGCTTTTCACTGAGATTGGGACCTTAGAGCTGGACTCTCAGGAGTCCAGTTCTGAACATGGTCAGTGACAGCCGAGGGGAGATGTTCAGAAGGCAAATGGAAAAATTGGGATGGAGCTCAGGAGAGCAGTGTGAGCTGGAGAGAGGTCACTCAACTGCTCTGCCCGACTGCCACAAGATGGGAATAATAATTGTGCCTACTCTGTCAGCTTGTTGTGAGGACTAACGAGTAGAGAGCTGGAGCAGTACCTAACTTGGAGTAGACACCTTATAAAGGCGAGCTGTTCGTGTTTCTAGCACTATAGACGGTCACTGAAACCATGGGAGTAGATGAGGTACCAGAGACAGAAAGGAAAGAGAAGAGCAGGGGACCTGGGATTGAATCCTGAGAGAAAAAGAAACCTGCACCTAAGGGACTGGTGGAGGGATGGGAATGTACAAAGGACTGAGCAACAGTTTCCTGACAGAGAGGAGGAAACTAGGAGAGTTCAGGTCAGGGAAGGAAGAGATCAGAGTATTCAGGGAGGAGAGTGTGATCAGGAGGGTTAGAGCCATGGGGAGGTCACACCCGTTGAGGCTGAGAAGCAGCTGCTTTGTGCTGCCTGGTACAGCAGTAGACCAAACAGATGCAAAGTGGCGCACTGACGCTCACGGAAACTGCAGTGCGGAAGAAGGGATCCCTCCAGTCCAAAGAGCAACCACAGAAGCCACAGCCTGTCAGCCCGGGGAGAAAGTTCCTTGATCACCTGTCTGATAGCTGAAGAAACCCTGAACAAATGACTTGCCTGGCGAATCACAACGAATAGGAGACAGGGTCGCAGTGGTGGGCTCAGTATTCTTTGGACAGACGGAAACTTAGACATGGCATTGCACCTGGGAACTGTGGCATGTGACTATTTTCCTTCCTTCCCTCCTTCCTCCCTCCCTCCCCCTCTCGCTCCCCCCTTCCTCCCTCGCTCCCCCCTTCCTTCCTTCCTTTGATTTATTTATTTATTGGGGGGAGGGGCTGAGGGAGAGAGAGTCTCAAGCCCACTCGGGACTGGGGACGGGGCTTGATCTCACCACCCTGAGATCAGGGCCCTGAGATCACGACCTGCGCCAATACCAAGAGTCGGTCGCTTAACCGACTGCGCCATCCAGGCGCCCCAGCACGCAACGATTTCTAAGGCACTCGGCACTGAGGAAGTTTGTTTTATAATTTTTTGCTCCTAGAGCCTTGGGAAACCCGAGTCCCAGTTCTTGGTCTTCAGTTCCACGCGAGACTGCCACCTACTGGCCACATGTGAGAAGTGTGCTTCAGTGAGCGTCCAGACACAGGTTTGCTTCCTTTTCCAGGGGTGAGAGTGTGAATACACTTGGCAAGTTGCTGTTATAAGGAAGAGACCAGTGTCAAGGATCTTCCCGACCAGCCGCATTCTATCTCTGATTCCTGTACATCTCACCACCTCTTTCACCACATCCTGTTCAAAGCCCATTGTTGAAACATAAAAAGCATATTTTACACACTACTTCTTTTAAAAAAGCCAGTCGATGAAGTAATTAATGTTATGTGCTCTGGGGTATATGTACTGCTTCTGAATTAAGAATTACTGTAGTGTCTTCCACGGGTGTCTGCTCTTCCGGGCAAGGCTCCCGGAGTCCAACCAGCCCGTGCGCGGGCACCTGAGTGGGGCACTGACCACTGCCCCAGGCGCCCGAGGGCAGACAGTGCCAGGTCCGGGCGGACAAGGAGGTTTGGAGGGCCAGGTAAACTGGGCCATTAGAAAGGAGTGTTCCCCAAGGACTTTCTATTTAAAAACAAACAAACAACTACGGGAGACTGTTTAATAAAACTTAGGAAGAGTGAATAAAGTGTGGCAGTTGAAGTATATAATTTTGGGGAAATAACCTATC